TAGAGGACTTGAAAATTGATTGAATGCTGGCACGGAGAGATATATATGATATTCCTCTGCAATTTGAGCTTCTGCTCTGATAAGGGCATAGGTTCTATGTCCAGAGTTAGAGAATCAGAAAGAGAGGACAATTTGAAAAGTAAGATAATGAGATAATTTTAAATATAGAGTGAATTTCAGGTGGAAAAGTCTAGCAGGCATAGAAACTAGAGCTTTGGAAGAAGGGGTTAGAGATAAAACTTGACAATAATGATTAAAGACTCATATTCTGTGATCATTTTCTCTGGCTTAAGAAATTTGTTATATTGAAAATAGAGTGTTTAATATAGTAACATCTACTTTAGAATCATTTTTTTTTTTATTATTGCAAGGTTCTTGATTTAAAAACAAACACATTGTGGCTTTTAAGTTTCTTTTCCATGTTGAATAAATCATTGTGCAGTGATATCATTTTTACATGTCATTCTCAAATGTAAGATGATTATGTGATATCTGTTTATATTTTTGTGGGACTGCTATAAAATCATTGGTCATTTGAGCACTTTAAAAACTCAATGCCATATTGAACAAATAATTTGAAGGAAAACATTTTTACTCAAGGATATCAAAATAGAAATTCCTCCAGATCCGTTCTTTCGGACAAATTTGGTCACTTCATTTTCTTATCCTTAAACTGGGTGATGTATATTTTGGTACATATATTATGGTCAACATGAGCCATACTCTTTCTCTTCATCTAGGAAACTTAAGTGAGACTAAATTGAGACTCAGCAATGTCTTATTGTTTACATTTTAAATTAGGTTTTTAAAATATTTAAAATTATAAACATTACAAAGGCTAATAATAAATTTAAAAAGGAGAGGTATACAAAATGATTTCTCATTTTCTGTCTTCAGTTTTGCTTCCCAGAAGTTAATATTCCTAATGCAATATTATGTATTCTTTTCAACTTATTTCTCTGTATAGGAAGAAACATTCATATCTGTTTTTATTTTAATAATATAAGCTTAAGTACACATATTATCCTGAAACTTTTTGAACTGAAAACTTGTCATAAGCATATTTCCTTATTAATGTTCTAGAGGAGGTAGATAGCCATAGATATCTGTACTTTACTATTTCTTTTCTTTGAGAAGTTTTTTTAAGCACTATTAAAAAGATAGTGAGGAGACATATGTAGATAGAAGTTGCTATGGCCGATGTCAAAAAGGTCTGTGTTCTCCTCTAGGATTTTGATGGTTTCCTGTCTCACATTTAGGTCTTTCATCCATTTTGAATCTAGTTTTGTGCATGGTGTAAGAAAGTGGTCTTGGTCTTGTTTCATTCTTTTGCATCTTGCTGTCCAGTTTGGTGTACACACACACACAGAAATATTATTCAGCCATAAAAAAGAATGAAATCTTGCCATTTGCAATGACATAGATGGAGCTAAAGAGTATTATGCTAAGCAAAATAAGTCTGTCACAGAAAGACAAGTATCATATGATTTCACAAAACAAACAAGCGAAGGGAAAAAAAGAGAGAGAGAGAAACCTGGAAACAGACTCTTAACTATAGAGAACAAACTGATGGTTACCAGAGGGGAGGAGGGGAGGAGGGGAGGCAGGATGGGGAAACAGGTGTTGGGAATTAAGGAGGGAACTTGTGATGAGCACCTGGTGATGTATGGAAGTGTTGAATCACTGTATTGTACACCTAAAACTAAAACTAATATCACACTGTATGTTAACTAACTGGAATTTGAATAAAACTTTTTAAAAATTAAAAAAAAATTAAGATAGTGAGGAAGCATTAAAGAATCACTACACTATGTTTAAGCAACATTAGTGAATCTGAACATTTTTTGTGCAAAGCTGATTCTAAGATTTCCAGTCATTCTTTCAAACCACACGTGCTGAAACCATTCTGTGTATTTATCCGGCAGGCCCCCTTCAAATTTGAGGCAATATGATTAGGCAAAGACTATGTTAAATGCTGTGTTCTTCTTCCTAGTTAGTTTGAAAAAGTATCAGTAACTTATAAAGGTAATATACCCAGAGTTTGAGAGAAACAGTACTATATTTTATCTATTCAAAATCAGATCAGCCTTAAAAACTGTACTGATACATTTGGCCAGCCTCACAAGAGGGAGGTTTGTAGACTTCTACAGGACTGGAGGGGATGTTATCACATGTGAGTCTCTTTTACAATGTTTGCACTGAAAAAATGGACTTAGAGATATGAATATTTGAGAAGATATGGTTTCCTTTAGAATATGAGATTATATCAAGTCAGATGCACACTCAGGCACCCGAAGACTAACTTTTTTGCTCTCTCTTCTGATACCTTCTTGGCTTAGATCTTCTTTTTATAATCTAAGGGTTAGTTCACAATGAGGAAGACATCAAGTGACTCATGGACAAACAGATTGGTAGCTTGGGACTCTGTTGGCGTTCTTGCTTTCTGCGAGCTACAAATTTTACTGCATAGAGGCTCTGGCCAGTGTTAAATAGTATGAAGTAAAAATGATGGGTGGTTTTACAGATCACACCATCTTACTAATGGTATAATTATTAAGATATACAAGTGAACAAAACTTAATGATCTCAGAGTTATTAAAAACCAGAATGCAAATGAGATAAATATTAGAGTCACAATTATAAATGAAATAGCATTTTAATAGTACAAATAATATTTAAATAATATCATTTTTTTAAAGATTTTATTTATTTGTCAGAGAGAGAGAGAGAGCACAAGCAGGGGGATCAGAAGGCAGAGCGAGAAGCAGGCTCCCTGCTGAGCAAGGAGCCTGATGTGGGACTCGATCCCAGGACCTTGGGATCATGACCTGAGCCAAAGGCAGTCGCCTAACTGAGCCACCCAGGCGTCCCTAAATAATATCATTTTTATAGTATTTTTTACTTCCTTTAATATTTTTATCATACAGTAATGATTCTGTTAGAAACACTGATTGCAGAAGAGTAGTTTGGAAATTCCATGTCACATCAATTCCCAACCCTGACCGTTTATTACATCGTGTACTTTTTAGTACATTTCTGATTTGTGGTGAACAAGTGAGCAATACCTATGCTTTTATTTTAGTGTTCTCACTGGTTTCCAAGCTTCCATTCTTTTTTGACTGGGTGTTCTTTACATTTCTCCACGGTGTCTTCATCTCCCTTTATTTCCTCTTCTTATAGCATCCCAATGTGACCTACATTAGTTGGCTGACACAGTGAGCTTGAGGATCTTGACTTGCTTTATGCACCCATTCTCCATCACAGGGCCCCCAGGACCACATATGACTTCAGCTCATATTTCCCCTTAATTCTCATTGCTGTATGTTGATTCTAGTAATCTTCACCAAATAACTTTTCTTCCTCCTACTCCATTTGATTTCTCATGTGACCCTTACCCATTTTCCACGTTTGCCTTAGTGGAGACAGTGACTTGCCATAGTTAAGAACTATGTAGTCAGATAGACTTGGATCCAGACTCGGTCTCATCTTCTTACTAGTCATATGATCTTGGGCAAGTTCATATTTTTAAGTATCAATTATTCAGTTTCCCTAACTATGAAAGACAGGGGTTATTGTGAGATTTTGGAAATAAGGAACTTGGCACTGCCCTTGGCACATGATACTCAATGAAAGCTTGGTAGTTACAGGTTTGAGAAGTTAGCAATGGAAAGGGGGGACTAATTTCTGTAAAAATCAGGACAGGACAAGATATTGTGTGATAAGAAAGGGAAGTAGGACAGTTGAAAGAACTTTTATCATACAGTTAAAAATAATAGTGTGTATAAAGTTCTTATCCACAACCCGTAGGTTAGATGTGTTTTCAGAATTCAGAATTTTGAGGATTTTAAAAGGTATGTATGTTTTGTGAATTACATAAGATCTCTAGCACGATATGCGGTAACATTCTTAAACAAATGGATACTTTTTTTAAGATTTTATTTACTTATTTGAGAGACAGAGAGATAGGGAGAGAGAGACAACATGAACAGAGAGGAGAGGGAGAAGCAGACTCCCCACTGAGGAGGGAGCCTGATGCGGTACTCAATCCCAGGACCCCGGGATCATTACATGAGCCGAAGGCAGACTCTTAACTGACTGAGCCACCCAGGTACCCCAACAAATGGATAATTCTGTAGGAAAACACTTCTGTATAAATTTTTATACAGAGGTATTAGCCTCCTATCATTACCCTCCCATAAATTCAAGTCAGACAAATGCCACCAAATGAGTTATGAAAAAACTTACTTTTCACAGCATTTGAATCTGGGGATTACAGATGAGGGATTGGAGTTCTGAAAAATAAAAGGAGATTCTGCATTTCCTTATTGTGACCCAAAAATTATTCTCTCATTTTAGTGATGTGGGTGTTTTCTACATTTTGTAAACGTGGAGCCACAGATATTTTTCTTACTTCCATAGCCACACTCATTCCTCTTCCCAGCTACCCTTGCCAGTTCACTCCAGACTATTTCTTCTGAGAATTAAGGGAGGGAAGGAAATAGAACTCTTTAAGTGGGAGTTTCCTTGTTGGACATGGAAAACTCAGGTCACGTTGGGAAATGTTTTTTTCTTTATTCCTGGAATTTGTTAAGATGTGAAGTGTGTAATAATATCTGGAGAGCAAAAGACATTAAAATCATTAGTCTCCATTTCTTCTTTTGTGGTTAAAAGCTCCATCCTCTTAAATATTTTAACTAGAAAGGCGTTTTGGCAATATTTGTTGTTAAATGTGATATACTGACAATTTTAGACTATGTGTATTTTTTTTTATATAGATACCTACGGGTTTTTAGAGAAATGTATACTGACTTATCGATGGGTCAACATTGCTTTTTACTTCCACTAGTGAGGATCTATATCAATTTTTAGTTCATTCCTTTCTATTTTCTATTGATTTGGGGGACTTGCTATAAGAATGAAAATTGTAATTAAATCATAGTTTAGTAATACGTAGCTATTACTCAGAATTGATTCCAGAGGTTTTTGTTTTTGTTTTTTAGTGTCCTACTGAAACCAAAGCAACATTTGGGGTCCACCTTAAAATAGTAGGAGACTGGACAGGTATGTGGAACATAGAGCTTTAAGGTACCTACTTTGAGAATAATGGGTCATACAATAGTTTGCATGTGTTTAAGTAGTAGGACTACTAGCATATATAGAAATGTGTATATGTTCTCAAGCTGTTGTTTTGTTTTCTTTCTTTGCATATATAGTTTTGATAGTCATATTTTCTTGTAGGATGCATTTTTGCAATTCAAATACCTTGGATATCAATAATTGTCAATAATGTATTGTTTGCTGTGTTTGCAAATCATTGGTTTCTGTCTACTTGTCAGGTGCACTGGCAATAGTGGGAAGAATGAAATGTGTTTTTTAGAAAATATGATTTTAAAATTGGTTGTTGGTTTTACTCTCAAAATAATCAACACCTGCGATTGGGATTTATATTGAGATTTAAATCTTCCAGTTCTTGCATGACTTTTTTGTGGTATTACCTATGTGTATATATCAACTCCACAGCATCTTTGGAATAGTGGTCATTTTTAATAGCAAATATATTAGTGATGTGTTACTCATTTATTCAATAAAAACTTTTATATTATCTGAGAGATATATTAAGAGTTCTGAATGAATAAATGAAATATTATTCATTCTTCTATTCTCCTGGTCCAATACAGTGACTGAAAAGTGAGTGCTCATCAAATGTTAGCTTGTTGGCTAGTTGTTTAGTTTGGTTGCTCAAAAGAAAGAATGCAGATTTGGACATGAATGCAAGTGTAAATAAAAATATTTTCTAAATGAGTGCTAAGCTAGGAGCAGGAAATTGGAAAAAGGTAGATTAATAGTCTAGGGTTATAAGAGGAGCTTCACAGAGAAGAGGGACTTTGAGCTGAACCTTGAAAATCAGGCAAATGAAGAAGGTCATTTTAGTAGAATTCACAGCATTGTGAAAAATCAGGGAGGGTAATGCGTAAACCATATCTGAGAAAGGTGAGTCAATCAGCCTAGCAGAAGCAAAGATTTTATTCTTGGGAGTACTATGGAAAAGACATTGAGTCAGCTCAGTGCAGATCTTGAATGCCTTGACAAGATACTAAAATAACTTAGAGATGCTAGAGAACTTTTGAAAGTTTTGGAGCATCATAACGAAAATAGTATTAATAATTTGCTAGTTGGATGAATTAGAATCAAGGAAAGACTTACTGGTACTGGAAGGCAGAGGAGGAGAGTCAGTGGAGGGGTGGGAATGGAAAGAGGACTAGAAGGAATGGATTTGCAAGCACAGGTTTAAGAAGTTAGCACTGGAAAGGGGGGACTAATTTCTGTAAAAATCAGGAAAGGACAAGATATTGTGTGATAAGAAGGGGGTATTTTACAAAGAAGGACATTTGAGGAGCTTATATCATAGAGTTAAAGATTACAGTGTGTAAATTCTTTATCTATAGAAAGGGCAGCCAGTTTGTAATTGGAGACTTGATGAAAATGGAGAAAATAAACAACATAGTATTTAGTGGGCAAATGATGAGATTAATCAAAAGATCTTTGAGCGTTATGACCTATTCAGAATTAGGAAAAATCAGGCTTCAATAGATATAGTTTATTTGCTTGCACTCAAAAGAGATCATGGTAGCCCTTTGTTAGAAAAACACTGGTGTAATATGAAAATAGTAATTCTCATGATAAGCGCAGAACTAGTTGATATAATCATAGTTGTTTTGCAGTATTTGACAAATAAAGAACAAGTAAAGGTCTTCTTTGCTAAGAATCCCAATGAAATAAGAATTAACTTCAGTAATGAATGGTAATTGATAAAATTCTATATCTGAAGGGAAGCAGCATAGTGAAGGTATAATTTAATGCATCATGGTAAGGAGAGAGAGAGAGCCCAAGGCGGGGTAGGGTCAGAGGGAGAAGCAGACTCCCTGCTGAGCAGGGAGCCCAATGTGGGACTCAATCCCGGGACTCTGGGATCATGACCTGAGCCGAAGGCAGTCGCTTAACCAACTGAGCCACCCAGGTGCCCCTGCATCATGGTAAGGAGAAACTTCATGATGGATTGTTACTAGCTATTGTTACTGAGTTTCTTCATAAAATTATTTTCTGTTGTCAGTAGCTCACTAAAATAGATGATTACCTCATCATTTATTTCAATCTTTCCTTTTAAGAACACCTACTAGTTTTAATTTTATCCTCCTTTTTTATGTACTGTGCCATTGAGGGAGAAACAAGATCATTCTATTCAGAGTTCAGTTCCAGTCAGATGCATTTCAATTAATAAACCTTCGTGGTTGTTGACTTTAAATATTTGTTGACTTGGAAAAAAATGTCAAGTGTTCATGCATAAAACCTCTAAATGACTCTGCACTAAATAATGTCTGGCACTTTAGTTCAAAAAAAGGTTTACCTGTCTTAAAACAATAGAATTATAATTATGGAAGGAAAACTGGGAACATTACTCCTAAGATCATTGGGTTTTGTTCTAAAAGAATTGATTAAAACTTAGTATTAAGAGCAACAGGGGTAGGAAATACCAAAGGGGTGCTTAAAATTTGAATATCAGTGGTTTGCCTTTCTAAACTGACAGATATTTTACAGTTATCTTTTTCTTCCCTGAAATATGTTCTGCCTTGGGCAGGTCGAAAGACTGCCCCATGGATGATCTTTCCAAGACTAATCAATGATACCCAGCAGCAAAGTGACCAAGAAGCAATTTAAGCAGCTGCATATCCCAGGACAAGGAGGCCTCAAAGTTTCAGATTTATTGTCTAGCTTTTTATTTTAACCAGGACTCTTGTTGCACCCCTTAAGTATGTGAAAGACTTATTAAGTTTGGAAGACCCTTCAAACCTCAAACACGATTTAGGTTTTTCCTTGAAATGATGGTGGTAGAGTGGGTAGAGTGAATTACTCAAGGGGATTTATTATCATATTAATATTTTGTTGCTTTTCTAGAATCAGTCATGCTTTCCAATTTCAATACATGGTCACAGATTGCCTACTGGTTTGATTATCATTCTAACTATCCAAAATATTTTGTTATTTTGTGCATTAGATGTCATTACTATTGAATAATGTCTGAGATAATGTTATATACTGTTGTTTTTTTTAGTGGTCTAAATAGCAGCTTACTCTAGAGAGGTTAAGTTTTACTACAAAAGCATTCTATGTATAATACCTGTATTGAAATTATTCTAAAAATTTTGTCTCTTTTCCATTCAATAATTAACGGATTGACAACTGGATAAATATGCAACAGAAGGCTTATTGTATATATCATATAACAGCTTTTTCTTGAATCAGTGGTATCAATTTCTATCGATTTATTGTCTATTGGAAAATATTGCTACAGTCAGAAGATATGGTTCACTTTGAGGATCAAAAGTGGGAAATCAGGGCCATATAACATCATGAATTTGCCTCAATACATAATACATTGATACTCATACTACAAGTAACCTTAGATAGGACTTTAGTTGAAGACTAGACCAAAAAAAGAGTTGATAATTCTCTATTTATTTCTGTCACCAATTTGGCCAGGTATATATTATACTTCATCTAGCTGATTGTTTATGAAAAGTTTAAAACAGAATATGTGTAATGCATTTAAGGTATTTTTTTTCGTTTGGGGAACTCTTTACAAGTCAGATTATGACCACACAAATTATAATAATGTTATTATTTTCTGAGAACGTGTTTTAGAACAATTGTGGCATCCACCTTATACCATATGTATCTGTGAATGGCTTTTGGTGGCTGTAAAAAAAAGCAAAAAATTAAAAGTACTCTTCTTGAATACCAACCCTATTTTGGAGGACATGCCCAAAAAGCAGATCCAAAGTAAGTTTGAGCAAACTGGCTTTTTTGAACAGCACAAATCATACTTGGATATATGAAATATCTGGGTTTTACATAATGCATGTTCACATAGTGTAAGGTTTAGCTTAAGCCCATAATAAATATGAGTTTTCAATTGCTACATTTACAAAGGAGTGACTAGAGATACTCTTTGTTGTTGTTGTTGCTTTGACCAGCAAATTATCATGGTTAGACATTTGTGGAAGATAACATTTAAGCTCTTTGTTATTTAGGTTAATAATTAAATATTTATTAAATACCTACTGTATACCAGACACTGCACTGTGTCTGGAGATACAGAATTGGCCAAAACAGACAAGGTCTCTGCTCTCCTAGAGACTGTATTCTAGTCAGTAGAGATCTCCAGTAAACAACAACAACAACAACAACAACAAAAACAAGGTATAATATGTTAGATAGTGATAAATGCTATGAAGAAAAATAAAGGTAAGGGAGTAAAAATGATGAAGGGTGGGAGTGCTGGTGGGTGTTTAGTTACATACAAGGAGATGAGAGGATGTCAGGTGGATTTCAGGAAGAAGTGTATTTAGACTAAGGAAAGAGTAAGTGCAAAGTCCCTGAGGTGGGAATAAGTTTGGATACTCAAGGAACAATAAGGAGGCCAGTGGGGCTGGAATAGAGATGGAGAGGGGGAGAATAGTAGGAAATAGATCGGAGAGGTAAGAAGGGCATTGGACACTATGGGCTATAGGAGGACTTGCATTTTTATGTGATTGAGAAAAAAGGCATGGTTTAGAAATCTACATCTGAATGATATCCATTTTGTTTTAATACATATTACCAGTGGTTGTCAGGCTGAGGTTATTTGTTTATTTATTTTAAATGATTGCATTTATGGAGAAGGGGGAAAAGGTCAGAATTCAGAGAGTGGCAGAAAACAGGTCAAACTTTTTGTTGGGGTGGGGAATGTATCATCATTTTAATGATGCTTCAGTAGTGGTTTTTATCTCCTGCCGTATGGCCCTGGTTTATGGGGTCTGGTAGCCTGGTGCCCCATCAAGCCCCTATGATGGTAGTAGCTTCTTTCTATTCTCTGGATTTCCTCACGGTCTTTTAACTTCAGTTCTTCCCTCACCTAAGTCACTAGTTCCCTGTATTAAATTCCTTCCACTTAAATTATGTAGTCATTCCTGGTTTTCATTGGATTTGGACCATTACAGGAGGTCTGCAAAGCCTCTGAACAG